TGACAAAATATTCTATATTAAATTTTGCACCCAAAGATGACTTTTTCATCAAATATTTTGCTTTTTGGCAAAAATTCGTTTGTTCCTGTGACTCTCGAACCTGGAGTATTATTTTTTTTTTTTAATTTTCCAACATATTGGGTCTTTCCATTTTCATTCTCCTCCATCATAATATTCTTTCACATCACTGAAGATCAAAAATTGTTACTTCGATCTCCGGGCACAAACAGCAATTTTTCTTCGTTCTTCGACTGTTTGTTTTTTCTACTTTTTGGATCACTCGTTAGGCAATTTTTTTTTCTAGGATCGAGATGCACTGTTAGCAATGGCACTGGAACTTGGCGCTGAGATTTGCGAACAATTCGACGGAACAGTAACACTTTTGGTATGTGGGGTTATTGTGCGCAATGAGAAATTACTCAGCTCAATTGCTCGAGGAATTGCAGTTGTTGATGTTGATTATGTGAAAGATTCACACAGGGCATCGAAATGGCTTGAGGTGCGTGTTGGAATTTTTCACGTTCTTTTGTTGTGTTTTTTCTCCCTCCGAAACTATGCATTTTAAATTTTTTGCTATGCATGAAAGTTAAGATTAAAGTTTCTGGTTATAAGGTAATTTTATGACCTGGAAATCAAAATGTTTAGGTTAGAGTCACGATTCAAAGCGGACACCAAGAACATCCCTCAGCTTTACCTAAGCATCAGCTTCATAATTAGAGGAGCTCACTACTCTTCAAGACACAAATTAAATGTTAGGATCGCCGGTAGGCTGACCCACCAAACAATGTAGCATTTGTCAAAGGAACTGAAAAAGTTATTAGCTGCACTTAAAACGATGGAAACAAAGGGTTTTTTTTGTAATATTGTTCAGTTTTGTGTGCCTCATTCCGAAAAATTTGTGCTGAATAATGATGAGAAATTGATTTCAATTTTTTTTTTTTGCGATTTGTTGCGTGAAACTCGCTTTGAAGTTGATTTTTACTCAAATTCTATAATGGCGTTTACCCGGATAAAAGGCAGCTATTAGGTTTCTTTCAAGTAATTTTCGACAGGGAGAGAACCATTAACAACCGCGTCAAGTGGCTCCATGACTTAAGCGGAGT